GCCGTTTAGGCTCAACCCTGGACTTTGTGAGGATTCGGCCCGTTTGGGGGTTCCCTTCCCTCCAACCCCAAATTACTGTTCCTTTTTAAAAAGTATGACGGAAAGTGGCCCTCGGCGCCTCCTTGTGGCCACGGAGAGCCATCTTTTTTAAAGCTGCTCTGCCGTGGCAAGGGGAAAAACATTTTAAAAAACAACATGCAAATAGCGAAGACACATCAAAAAACATTAAATAGAAGAGCTCTATGGAAGAATTGGGGATGGTTGTGATTCTGTGCGGCCAGTTCCCAAATCTTGCTGGGAGTTGTGCTCCCAAAAAGTTTAACTTCCCACCCTGCAGCCTCCAAGGGTCTACATCCCAGATATTCTGCCTTTTAAGGCTTCCTTCCCCCCAAAGTCTCCTCCGCGCCCCCCCCGGTCGACCTTTCCCTACGGAAGTAGCTTCAGCTGCACTGCGTCGGAAGGGCCCCGACGAAACAGACCCCAGGGAACGGTCTCCTCCGTGAGCGGGGGCCACGTGGGTGGCGCCACGTTTCGTGGCACAGCGGAGGCCACCGCGCCCCGAGAGACCCACGAGGGAACTCACATTCTGCGGATCGTGTACAAGGTCGCGTCCACCCACGTCCAGCGCTCGTTGGTGAAGCGCAAGCCGATCCACGTGTTGCGTGGCTTTGTATGCTGGGCCACGAACGCCTAGCAGGAGAGAGGACACCGAGCGACCGTGAGCAGCCTGAGCCGGCCAGTCGCCACCGACGGCGCTTGACCACCGTTTTCAAGAAGAAACCTGCTCCATTCTTCATCATTTTGGGCCACCTGGACTATTGTTACTGCTAGTATAATTATCCAGCCATAGGGGGCAATATTGGTGTAAAAGGCTTGATTAGCCTTGTTGTTTTCTTGTTAACAAACAGTAATTGCCTTGCCACTTAGGACTGATAAGAGTGTGTCATAAAATGTGAAAGAAATACCTCTTAAAAGGCCTTTTACTATATTGCCCTAAAAATCTTAACTGTTGAAAGTACAGTAGAACTGCTGTATCTGCACGGGATCGGTTCTAACCGCCTTCCCTGAGGATGCTAAGAAACATGTGAATATCGAACGCTATACGTTGCGTGGTCTCTGGCTCACTCTAATGGCCCGTCCTGATAAACACAACCCTGGTAGGAATACATATAGATAGGTATTTCCGGAGTTTTTTTGTTTAGCAAAGTGAAATGCAAAGCGTGTTCTTTATAGACCGCCTCTTAGCGCTTAAAGCACTCTCTGGGCAGTTGACAAGTTAATTATGCAGGCTACCCATTGCCCTCCCCGCCATTCGGGTACTCATTATGCCAGCCTCCGAAGGATGGAAGGCTGAGTGAACCCTGAGCCAGCTCGCTGGGATTGAACCCAGCTGGTGAGCAGAGTGTTGGCTGCAGTGCTGCAGTTGAACCTGCACCGATGCCTACCCGAGGAGTCCAGCAGGCAGGAGGCCTCCGTCCCCCTGCGTCCCAATCCTCCCCCTGCTAAAAGACCCGATCGAAAACGGACCTGCTCTTGGTAGCTGGTGATGATCACCAGTCGGGAATCTTTATTTTCACAGTCGGCTTTGGCTTCGTCCCACGTCTTCTCCGAGGTGGAGAACCAGTAGCAGCTCTGGCGGAAGGAAAGCCAGCCCTTGGGGCAGCAGAGGGTTGTGCTCCCTGATGGGGACGGAGGAGAGAGAGGGAAAATACTGTATATATATATATGGTGGGACGGGGACACAACCTGGGCTGTGCTTGAGGGAGGGAGGCACCGTACGGCCAGGATGGCCGGGCAGGATCCCCACTCAGGCTCCTGTGAGACCACGTGGGGTGGTTCCTCCCCTCCTCCGTGGTACAGCTCTGTGGTTCCTGCGTCCGTTGCGTTCTCCTGCCTTTGGCTTTGGCCGTTTGCACCCTCAGCTTAGAAAACAAACCACACGCTCGGGTCTGTTTCCTTACAGCTCCACCCATCGTCTTGTGGGAATGCCTCTACCTGCTAGGTAAAGGAAAAGGTTGCCCTTGACATTTAGTCCAGTTGTGTCCGACTCTAGGGGGCGGTGCTCATCCCCGTCTCCAAGTCGTAGAGCCAGCATTTGTCCGAAGACAAGTTTCTGTGGTCACGTGGCCAGCGTGACTAGACACTGAACGCTGTGACCTTCCCACCGAGGTGGCACCTATTTATCTACTCACATTTTTACATGCTTTTGAACGGCTAGGTGGGACGAGCAACGGGAGCTCTCTCCGTCACGTGGATTCCATCTTACGACGGCTGATCTTCCGACTTTGCAGCACAGAGGCTTCTGCGGTTTAACCCACAGCGCCACCACGTCCCACGTCTATCTGCTAACCTCACAGCCAATCCCTGCGAAACGCCTTTTGCGCATGGACGTGGCATCCGTCCAGAGACAGCATGGGGGGAAGAGGCCAGCTGGCTACCCTTGCCAAAAAGCATGTGCGTGGATGGAGAGAGGGTGGGCTGCGAAGGGTGGGACAGAGTTCTGCTCACTACCCTCCGAGATAAGATTTTGTCTTTTCTCGATCCAGGTCCCAGAAACTTCCTGGCCAAGCATAGCCACTGGACCTGCTGACTGGGAATCCCGGGCAGTCATAGCCCACAAAAAGCGAAGATGAAGAAGCGAAGTGTAAGCTGGGTAGTCCATTTACTGACCTCAGAAGGATGGAAGGCTGACTGAGCCTCCCGCTGGCTATCTGGGATTGAACCTGGGTCTTGGGTCAGGAGCAGAACTTTGTAATGTAGTTGAAGCCCAGCATCGCTGGGCTCCGTTCACAAAAGTAAATGCGCCACGCTCTGTGCCCAGTGAACAAGACAGGCTGATTTCCCAAGCGCGGATCCCGCGGCGGATCCTCCCTCTTCCCTCTCTCCGGCCGCACACGTCACCTTTTCTCTCCTGGAACCACCCTTTGCTCTCTTTTCCAAACTCACCCGTTCGGTTGTGCTTGATGTCTTCCAGGCGGCAATTCAGGAGATGGGTGCTGGCCCGCAGCTTCGAGATGTGTTCCTCGAACTGGGTCTTTGCTGGAAGCGGGAGGAGAAAAAGGTCACCAGAGAGAATCCTCTCACCACTGCCCACCCTTCCGTACCAGCAGGGCACGCGGGGGGCGGTGGTCGGACATGGTTTTTCATCGCAACCTCAAAGCCCAGAGGTTTCCGTTCAAGGGTTCAAGCACGGGGGTCTCCCTCTGTCTCTCGTAAGGCGGGAATTTCGGACAGGGTCTGGGCAGCGACAGCAGTTGTGGGGTCTCCATCCCACGGAATCCTGCAGTTCGTCGTCTCGGGAGGAAGTGCAAAACCCACGGAGGGGACCCAACTCAACGCTCAAGTTTCTCATCAAATTGCAAACACACAAACGCACGCATATATATAATCCCAGCGAGGAGACCTGCCATTGCTATCTACTCCAGAGCCACTGAACTGCTCTAGATGTACAGTGTGGGCTTTGCCTGAGGTGGAATCCCTCAGTGGGAGACTCCGGGCAGGCGAAAAGGTCAACGGCTTCTTCACCCAAGTCAGGAGCTAAATAAAACTGAGAAGTGATGGCAAAACGGGCGGGCTTGGCAGGGGGAGCCGTGCAGGTGTGTGGCACCCTCACAGGCCTTCTTCTTCCCCGCTGCCCAGTAAATGCCAGTCTCTGTGAGCCAAGTGCAGAGGGTCAGATTAGATGACCTTCTGGTGTCCCTTCTGGGTGTACACTTCTGTGGTTTCACGGCATCACACTCCAACAGGAGATGAATGCCCCTCCCCTGAAACCGACATGATTTTAAACGGAGGGGGGGGGAGGTTGGAATATTCTGCAGAAGATAAGAGGTTTACCTGGGGCTTCTAATCATCATAACAATATGCAAAAGGGGAACCCTACGCGTCCAAATCCCTGAACTGGACGTCTTCTTTTGTTTTTAGACTACGAGTTCCAGCATCCCCCAGCCGGCATGGGGATTCTGGGTGCTTTGGTCCCAAAGCAGAACCTTTCCCAGGCTCTATAGGTCAGCTCACCCACCCAGGTCCCCGGCCAGGGGGGGTGGGCTTCCCGGTCGACCCACCTTCCTTCACTTCCTCCGTCAGGTTTTTTATTATCTGGTCGACTTTCACGAGCCTCTTCACATCACTGGACTCTGGAATTGGCAGAAAGCGAGACGGTGAGGACAGGAAAAGGGAGACCCGTGTCTTTTCCTTCCTTCCTCCCAGCCAAATCGGTGGTTTTGGGGACATCAGCGCCCAGAATTGCCCAGGATTCGTGTTGCCGTGTTGCTCGTTAAGAGCCTGTTCCCTGATTTCAAAAGTCAACCGTGTGGGTAGAGGTCCTCCCTCCTCCCACTGGTCCATCATGGTCATTTCTATGATGGGTTTGTTTTATTTATAGGCCACCTTTCTCCCGATCAGGGGGACCCCTTCTGATCTTCAACCCATCCATCTCTCAATCTCAAACAGGTCTCAGACACCAGAAATTCCCCCCACAACTAAATAAAGGGTGGTGGTTGTGTGTGTTTTTTCTTTTTAAGTTCCCTGAAACTATTGGGATGGATGGGTTCAAGCCAGTTTGCGGATCCTGGAAGTTGTAAACCAAAAAATGTAAAGTCATTTTTTAAAATAAAAGAAGAAGCCGTGGTTTGCTTTGTCCCCTAAACACCAGCAACAACAGCTTGGGAAGCCCCAGAGGGAACGGCATCCCATAATACTCCCCCCTAAGCCAGGCCTCCGTGGCTCACCCTTTTCTTTCAGAGTGGCTAGTGCCCCAAAGATGGTCTGGTTGACATTTTGTAAATTCTTCTCCATGGTCAACAAATCGGTGCGAAAACTGCTCCCTAGGGGTGAGGAAGGGAACATGAATGAGATTAAAGGTTTCTCCCCCCTCCCCAGTCCGTTCTCACTGGGATTGCCTCCTGGTCTCCTCCTTTGCATCTTAGGGCCTCCGTCTCTTCCTGGCACACTCCTTCGCACCTGCATTCATCGGCTTTTGCTGTGTTTACTTTTCCTGCATGGACCAACTTCTGTGCTCATGTTTTCCTTTGCAACCCACTCAACTCCAGCATTCAGGACTGGCCGGCAGGTTATAGACCACCAGCAGCCCCCCCCCCAGTCACCTTCAGACAACTCCCAAGTAGCAAATACGTCATGGGTAAGATCTTTGCTTGGGGCAGCCTGCTCTGGTGGCTTCCTCAATAAGGTGTGCGATTTCGACCATCAGCACAACCCATTGCTAGATCCTTCTAGGTTTACTCACAAATGAATGCTATGAATAAAGGTCCCTTGCAAAGTTATGTAGTAGCTTCCTTCTTTGCTTGTTAGGCATACTGTATTGCTTCCTGTTTTGCATACCTCAGGAATTAGTGCAAAACTCTAAAACAAACAAAGAAATACACCTGTTCCCTGTCTAGTGGTAGTGGGGATTTTTTTTCTCTTTCTTTTTTTAACACATTTCCTTTCCTCCCCTTTCTTTTATAGTTTCATTTTGCTGTCAAGAAAGAAGGAAAAACAATGAAAAGAGAACAGCCATGCACAGGCAGAGATAAGGCACACAAACAGACTTCCATGGAAATGGTTTGGATATTCCTCAGCACTTCTCAGTCATCCTGCATTGATCAGGAAGACCTGAAGGGGGCAGTGGCTGTATTTAGGAAGCTTTTTATTGAAGGCACAGTAGCCCCCTTCCCCCTCCAAAAAAACCAATCAATGACATTTCATTCATTGATATTGCACACAACCTGCTGCTATGACAGTGTTTCATTGCACAAAAGTTACTGCAAGTCAAGTGGGGGGCAGGTGGGGAGGGTGACACGAAAAGGCCTGGAAAGCACAGATCTAACCATCGTTTCCTATCCTACGGAGGAGTGAGCGCAAGACGACAGTTTTAGCAAAAAGAAAAAGAAGAAGGCTCACAAAATGTACTGCTTGACAAGATCTTACTGGGCAGAGAGGCACACATCTGCACACAGAGCAAAGAAGTCTTCCCCATGTGTTGCATGTCCCGGGATTCTTGCAAAGGGATTCTGGATCTTGTAGTCCGTAGAAGACGTTCATTGGAGCCCTGACAGCAGTGTGTTAAACCCAACATCTTTTCACCAACACACTCAAATCCATTGTGCAGAGAACATAACACTGTTTTGCTCTTAAGCTTGGAAATTTTTACTTTTTTGGACTACAAACCCCAGAATTCCCCAGCCAGTAACATTTGCAGGGGCTGCCTTCCCTTGCTCCCTCCTGTTATTTGCACCTTTCTTCTGCCTTCTCAGTCATGCCTCTCCAGAGGCCTTCAAGAGAAACGTAGACCACCAGTGGGCGGATCTCCTTTGATTTGGGTTCCTGCCTTGAGCAGGGGGTTGGACTGGATGGCCTCAGGGGTCCCCTTCCAACTTCACAGTTCTCCAATTCTTTGATTCTAACCCTGTCTTTTCTCAGCTTTGCCGAGGAATCCCAGGTTTCTCCTTCGGCCCCGCTGTCTGTGCTTCCCCTTCCAACTTCACGGTTCTCCGATTCTTTGATTGTAACCCTGTCTTTTCTCAGCTTTGCCAAGGAATCCCGGGTTTCTCCTTCGGCCCCGCTGTCTGTGCTTGCCCACCTCCTTTCCAGACCCCTCTTCAGCCACGGCTCCCTGACCTTACGTGGTGGTCCCTGGCAGACACACCCTGGTTGGCCTCCCCGGCCCCAACCCTGCAGCTTTCTGGGTTCCTGCTGGGGGGGGGGAGATCACTCACCGGTGAAGCCAAAGACGACAGTCAGGATGGCGAGGATGCAAAGAAGTCCGAGCATAACGAAGATCAAGCGCCGGCCGGAATAGACACGCCGTCCCCATGGAGGAGCAAATTCTGTGGGGACTGGGAAGACAGCACCGTAAACCAAAAATAATACTCGCAATGCGTGGCCTCTCCACCCCAAGCTGGGAACAAGGTCTACTTGGCTTCTGTATGGCTTTTACTACATTTGAGTAGGGCTTGTGGTTTATTAGTGTAAAAGTTTGTCATCATGGGCTGTCAGCCACCCTGAGCTCCCTGGAGGAAAAGTTGGAGGGGGGAGGTAACTCAAAGGGATGACTTGCCTGGCTTGAAAGGGGAGTTTGGACAAATTTCTGAGAGCATCAGGCGATGGGGTGGCTAATGGCTACTCGTCTTGGTGGGTGCATAGCTCCTTCTCGGCTGCAGGGGCAGCTCCCCTCATGCTTTGCTTAGGGGTTTCCTGGAGACATCCAGAGGATCATTTGGATGACCCCCCCCCAGTGCAGGTCCCGAAATCCCTTTGGTTTCTTCTGATGTGACTCCTTATGATCAAGAAGGGACGGAAAAGTACCTCTTTTGAGGTCCTCTTCACCATCATCCTCTGTATCCAAGGTGTTGACATCTCGGTAATCTTTAACCATTCTGGCTTGGTGGGAACATGAAGAACCTGGAATTAGGAGAAGCGTTTTGCAGGCCTGGTAAGCTTTTCAGACGCATTCCGTGTGGAACAGGAAAATCCCCTCTATACATAAGCAGGGGACTCTATTATCTCCCAAAATAGAAAAGGGGATGCGTGCGAGACTCCCGAATCCAAATCAAAGGTTCAGCTCTGAGGAAAGCATGGGTCTTCCTTTAAACATTCACTCTTTACCAGCCAAAGACTACGGCTTACATCCTGTTGCTCTTTTATATGCATGTGGACAGCAAATGGCATAAAATTCGTCCACTTCTAGCCAGCAATGAATGAGTCACTGCTTGGCTTCTCAAGTGCATGCCGAGGGGTGAGAGCACTCCCAATAATCACAGTAGCGACTTGTTAATTGCCAGCTAGAAGAGAATGAATGTTATGCGGTTGGCTTTCTGTATGCATAAAAAAGTAACCGAACTTCAGCCAAGGAGGATAATTAGGAGGATTAGGAAGTCAGATATTTGTAATAAAATGTATTTTCCATTAAGGGGTTGATTAAGAAATATAAATAAAATAAATTGATTCTAGAGCATTGGCTTAATGAGAAGGAAAGAGAAAGAAAGGGGGGGAAATACCAGTACAATTTATAATTTTGCCCACACGGTGTGAAAAAATAGATATGCTTTGGTACGGCCTCATTCTTTTTTAAATAGGGCAAAACTGCAGATCAAAAATGTTCACATCCTTTTGCTGATATCTTCTTTGAAATGGAGCCCTGAATTCCCAGAGAGAAATGAAATTTAGATTCACAACAGAAAGTAACTGGGACATTTTGGTCAAAACGTTGAAAATCTGTGTTATTGATCTTATCTGTGACGAATAACTGCAAATTATCAAATGGAGTTGATCTCACACCCCACAACCGTCGTGGCGAGCAGTGCCGCGCAGCACAAGAACACCGTTTTAAACTTTAATCCTCAACTTCCCGAACTATTTTAGTTCAAAAGGAAAACGAAGCTGGGAAGTGAAATGTCTCCCAGTCCGAAACAGCAAGACCTCAGTTTTAAGGCAAATACTTTGACTTTCCAAGAGGTGAAGACAATTTTAATTCAGGGTCACCCAGAGAGATAACTGTGCTTCCCACATGAAATAAAATTTACTGGAGGGATGCTCAGCAAAACATCAAACACCCGAAAGTTTCCAAAATAAATAAATAAATAAATCACCCTGTCCAGCGTTTGGATGAGCGAGCATCGCCATCACGGTTGAGAGACAGGTCATTTTGATTGAACAAGGATTCCTCTGTTGCTCACTCTGAACACGGACATTCTGCCACACATTTGCACACGCATGTTGCACCCACAGAGAGGTTCCCGGCTATCCTTCCAAAATGGAAGTCTGGAGGCACTCTAAGGTCCATTCGCCCCAGGAGGTCCATCTTTACCTTCGCCTTTTTTGGTCTCTCCCCGGAGCAACCAGTCCTCCCGGTGGACGTTCTCCTCTCCGGATTCTCCTTTCAGGGCAACCCCCACCCACCCCCCTCCGGCCGCTCTTTGAACTGTGTCAATATTATTTGTCCTCTGCCGTCCAAATTTAGAACTTCCCGAAATGTGGCAGGCCCCTGGCTCTTTCCTCTCCCCCCCCCCATTTGAGACAGGGTCCCATCCCCACATCCACCCCTCCGAAGACTTTTTTCGAAAGTGGCATTCGGCCGAGGCTGAAAAGGGGGGGGGACCCTTGGTCTCAGCCAAACGCCACGGGGGGGGGCTGTCCCAGGAGGAGCTGCCGTGGTAGGAAGTGAGACCGGCGGCTTTGCATTTCTGGAGGGTTGCTGACCTTGCTAGCCTTGGACTATTGCAGGGTGGATGATGGGTGTTGTAGTCCACCTGGACAACGGCAGGCTGGGAAGGTCTAGGTTGCAGGATTAAATATATTTCTACCTTCACTACCTAGCGCTTTTCAAAGACTTGAAAGGGAGTCCTGCAGAGGAGAGGCAGGATCTGTTCTTGGCTGTCCCAGAATCCAGGACACGTCATCATGGGCTCAAGTGCCAGGAAGCCAGGTTTAGACAGATCTTTCCCCTCCTTAGAAGGACATGTTTTCAAATCTTTGAAGAGTGCTCTCCTGTCTCCCCTCCGTCTTCTTTTCTCAGGGCTAAACAGTTCTTTCCGTCTTTCCTCCTAAGGCTTGGTTTCCAGCCTCCTCATCATCATCATCCTTGTTGCCCTCTTCTGAACTGGTTCCCATTGGCCAGCATCCTTCTTGAAGTGTGGTGTCCAGAAATGGACATAAGACTCGAGGTGAGGCCTCACCAGTCCCGAATAGAGGAGTTCGTCATGAGATCTGGAGACTATTTGTCTCTGAATGCCTCCTAAAATCGCATTGGCCTTTTTTGCAGCCACATGACACTGTTGGCTCATATTCACATACTTCAAAAAGTAACGTTCCCAGGCCCCATTCTCCCATCGAAGCAGCAGAATTTGGCAATCCGTGTCATTCATTGATCCAGAAAGACCCACAGGATTTTTTTTTAACATCAATGGATTCACTTCCCCATACATCCGGGCATATTTTGATTTTCACATATTTTGCACCCTTTCCACTCCTCTTCCCTATTCCTCTTAATGCAGGGCCAGTGGCTTTGCTGCCTCTCATGGCAGCCCTACCTGAGATGAAAGCTCATGCTTAGCGTGATTGTTTTGACGTAGAAGTGCATGCTTCTTTTCTTCAAATAAATAAACAGCATGCCTGCATCTAAAACCAGCCATTCCAAAGAAAGAGAGGGTTGGCTTTGCAAAAAGGCTTTATTTGTTTAAAAAGATATTCGATGAGCCTCATAACCCACAGACGTCTTCCGATTCCAAACCATGAAGCCGGGTCCCAATCCTGTGTCATCACCCCATCCTCACAACGAGTAAAGCTTTTCATTCGGCGATGGTGAGATGTTCCTATATGTCTCCTCTAACCCACCACTATATGTTCCTATATGTCTCCTCTAACCCACCAAACCTCTGCCCTGCTAGAGACAGACGTAATTCTCCAAAAATAGTCATCTAACATGCTTTATATCAGGCTTGTCCAACCTGCGACCCGAGGGCCGCATGCGGCCCAGGTCGGCTCATAATGCGGCCCAGTGCAATTTTTTATTTTTAAAGAAATTCCAAAGTTTCAAGTTACACTGCTGGCACTTGCAGCTGGAATGTGGCTGGGGCATGTCACAACAGTGTGGGAGGGGGAGAGGGAAGGAAGGAAGGAGCGGGATGGGACAGGGGGGCTGTGTGACTGCATTGCGCCGTCCCCGTCAATAGGTGGATCCCCTCCCGGCCCCATAATGCTGCCGGAGTTGAAGCTGGCAGCCTCTGCCGTCTGAGATCGCAGCTGCCAGTAAGCGCACTTGCAGCAGGGCTGCGGAGGACGGCTAGGGCTGCCCCCCCCCATGTGGCCCAAACCAAATTTATGTGCGGCCCAAACCAAATTTTCATCTTCTAATGTGGCCCAGGGAAGGTGAAAGGTTGGACACCCCTGCTTTATATGAACTAGCGTGCCTCGGCTTAGGTGCCGGTTTGATGCTGAGTGTTTGTGAACGTTCCGTGAAACACACTCCCGCCCTTTGGCTCATGGTTGATGAGGAAATGCAGCCGGACAATGGCAGCCAGCTACAAGTGACCGGGGTAGATAGAGATACACAAGAACTGGACATCGATGGCCCCTAGAACATCTTGTCCCATAAGGCCACCTGGGGACCCTCTTTCTTCTACATTTTCAGCTCCAGTTCACATATCCAGAGCAACTGTCGGGAACAATGATTGTCGTTCCACGGGCCGAGGCGCGTCATGTGGACACAGTCTTCGCCTCCTCCGAGGTTATGGCCGTACCAGTGATCCGGCTGTCCTTCGGCCCAGTCCCTGGGAATAAGCAACAGGGAAGAGAGGTGAAGGGTGGCAAAGGGTTTCCGAAAAGAGAGAGAAGCAGAGAGAAACAGAACGCACAAGGAGAGACATGTTCCGACTGTACTCTGAAAACGCACATTTCATCCTCTCTTTGACTAATGAACTCAGGGTAAACATTCCCAAAGGCACGGTCCACGTTGGCCTCCCAGAGCAGACGACAACAACAGGGCCCTGTCGTTTATATTTAATGACCTCTTAGACCTACTTCAGCAGCTGGAGAGCTGAATGGTTTAAGAGGTCTCTGGAAGCAGAGGTTGGGAGTTTGATTCCCCCCACGGGCCTCCTTTACAGGGGTCAGACTGGATGATCCTACAGGGTCCCTTCCAGCTCTGCCGTTCTAACATGACGATAAGATGTATTCAGGATTACTCCCAGTTAGCTGGTCCGTACACACGCACGCACGCATGCACGGTGTAGGGAGAAACGGTAGCACTTGAGGTCAAGCAGAAATAAAAAGTTTAGGGAAGCTATTTTCTTTTGACTACAGCGACCCAAATTCTCCTGGATGGCTTGATCCGTTCCGGAGCATCTGATGGAGGTCACATTCCAAGAGATGGAATCTAGGGCAGAGCTGGGCAATCGGCATCACCCCACAGTCCCAAATTCAGAGCCCCAGCACTCACCCACCCACCCGAAAAAAAATATTTTCACTTTTTAAACATGGCTCAAGAAAAGTCCTTCTGCCTCCTTACCTCAAAATGTGGAATAGAATAAATATTCTTTTAATAACAGAAGATCTAATTAGGCTGGTCAACAAGCTAATGGGGGATCCGTGGCACTCACTCTTTGTTTAATGTGTAGTCGGAGCCGTCTACCCACTTCCACACCCTGGTGACGTCTGTTAAGCCGATCCATGTGAATCCAGGCCTTTTTTGCTGAATTATAAACCTCTAGCACAAGAAAAAAAGCAGGCTCAAAAAAAGAAGATTTAAAAAAAACCCGGTCGTTGTCCAGCTGCAGCTACCTCCTCACTCCTGGAACCAGAGGACTGGGGGGGGGCAGGGACCCCTCCCAACCCACCCACCCCTCAACCCTCCGTGCTGCCCTCTACTCAAGGCCCCAGAGGGCTGCCAGCCCCCCCCACACCTACTTGCTCTGCAGGTGAATTGATGATCACCAGGTGCGAATTCATCCTTTCGCAGTTACGTTTTGCGTCGTCCCACGAGGCGGTGGTTCTCGAGACCCAGTAGCAGCTCTCCTGGAAGGACCGCCAGTCCTTTGGGCAACAGCCGCTTTTGGTCCCTATCAGCCGGGGGGGGGGGAGAAAAAGGTCGGAGTTTGGCCTCCCCGCACACCTGCGCGGCACACGCACACACACTCTCCCCTTGGGATCCTCAGCGGAGGTCACGCTTGGTCTCCGAGTTCTGTCCCACAGAGAAGGGCTTCCACATCACCCGAAAAGAGAGAAAGGACTTGAGAAAGGGGGACGCGGCTTGCCTTAAAACTGCGAAACTCTTTCACTGGTACAGAATGCAAAACAAAAAGGACAAGGGGACTCCCTTCTCTGCAGGACCAGTATCTGCTGATTCAGTTATCCATAATATGAAAATATTAAAAATATTAAAAGAAAAATCCTAGAAATATGTTTTCTAAAGATGAAGTTACCAGAACAGGGCACCAGAGGGAGCCAGAGAGCATGCTATGTATGGCACTTGTTATTAAAATAGTGTTTGCTATAATCCACGTGTTTCAATATCCGCAGGGGGTGGCTTCAAACAGATACAGAGGTTCTACTGTATAGGTGGGGAGTTAGGAAGGACTTTCACAGTTTAAGGAGAATGACAATACATTTCATCTGAGCAGGGACGAGAGTGGCTCAGGGACCCATGGGTTTCCTGCTCCCTCCCCCCGGGTGCTGCTACCTGCGGAAGATGGGCTTCAGAGTGGTCTGTCTCTTTCCTCCTAGCCTTTTATCCTTAAATCAAAGTTCTGCTGGACAACCTTTCAAACAGAAGTGTGTCCTTTCTAAAATAGGACAAGCGGCTGGACATTTCAGCCTCCAAACGGCCACCTGATCTTCTCCATCGCATTCTCCACGAGACTCGGCTCTCCAGCAGGAGAAACCCTTACCGCCTCTCCCATGCTAACATCTGAGACATTGGGTTTTTTTTTATTATTTCTTGTTTTAAGCAAACCTCCCTTTGAGAACAAATGGGATTTTCCTCCTTGGAAACCACGGAGGGTTTCAGCCGCTGTACTGGTTCCTTGCTTCTTGATCCTCTCGTGGTCCGAAGGAGGAAAATCCTGTTTGTGGAGAGCTAGCAACTTAATCCCCGAAAGATCTACGCATGCATTCCCCTTCGCCGAGACCTAGCAACCCACGGTGCCTTCAGCATAAAGGACTTGGGAGAGGCTGGAAGGGAAGTGACTCGAGTCCTTCCTGCAAAACACTTGTTCTTACGGGAACGCTCATTCTGTTCTTATGGGACACGCGCACCGAAGTCAAGAACTGTGGATCGGAGCAGGCTGGCTTGGACTCTGGCAACACTGCTTGCTAAGAGCTGTCCAGGCAACACCGGGTCAGGCGTGAGCCCCAGGTGCCCTCAGCCCAGGCAAGGCCCAGAAGACCTGATGATGGAGACCACGTTTCAGCTTCTCCTCTGGTTATTTCCCCAAAGCAATTTCCCGGACTCCTGCTTGCCCCTCGGATGATTCCGGGGGACACACACTCAAAAAGAAATAACTTCTCCCACGTTCTTGGTGGGGAGGAAGTCCCTGAGGGGAGGGGGAGGGCATCAGCCCACCTAAAGCTGTGCAAAGATGATCGGCTGAGCCACAGGATCTTTCAGGCAGATGGTGGGTCTCTCTGAGAACACGGCCGGAGCCGGATCGAAACCTCTGGAAGGACTCAGCTAGGATTTTGCACCCTGCCAAGACCACGCAGCCCAGTGACGGGCGACAACTTGGATCGTTTCACACATACACATACACCCCGTGCTGGCTGGGGTGTTACAGGAGCTGCAGGTGGCGTTGAGGATGACAAGGTTCTTACCGTTACTTTTCAGTTCCTCTAAGTCACAGTTGAACAGTTTCGTCTCCTCTTGTAAGAGATCCAGCTGATTTTGGATACGGTTCTTTGCTGGGATAACAGAGGGGGGTGGAAGTGAGACTTGGGAGAGTGGCACGCACAAACATACACAAGCCGGGACCGCTGGAGGCAGATGGATCCCATTCACTCCCCAGCCCTTCCACATTTTGATCCCATCCACCAAAGCAAATCAAATAGAGTAAGATTTCCCCCTATCTGTGGGATCAGTATCCACGGATTCCCTTATCCGCTGCTGGAAAATACTAAATCAAAATGCCCCCAAATCTGTATTTGTATGTATTTCCAGGGTGTATTTAACCAGAACTGGAATCAGATGGATAAGGAGAGATAAAGAGTTGGGTGTCATCAGCACACAAATGGCACCGAACCCTGAAACTCTCCCAGTGGCTTTCTGTAGATGTTAAATAACATCGGGGGGCAAAAGAAAAACCCAAGGGACCCCCCAGACCCACAGCCAAGGGGTTAAATGGGACTCCTCCCCCCCCATGATTCTGCAGCTGGGCAGATTTAGAGTTTTGGACCAAAAACCCCAGACTTCTCTGCAGCCCCTGCGGAGGCCTGGGGGTTGAGGTCCAAAGAAACCACAAATCCCCGTTGTGGGTTGTCTTCCACATTTGCATTTCTTTTTTTTCTTTTTTTTTTGGGGGGCAAAAGAAAAAACCCAAGGGACACCCCAGACCCACGGCCGAGGGGTCAAACGGGACTCCTCCTCCGCCCCATGTTTCTGCTGCTGGGCAGATTTAGGGTTTTGGACCAAAAACCCCAGACTTCTCTGCAGCCCCTGCGGAGGCCTGGGGGTTGAGGTCCAAAGAAACCACAAATCCCCGTTGTGGGTTGTCTTCCACATTTGCATTTCTTTTTTTTCTTTTTTTTTGGACTTATATACCGCCCCATAGCGCTACAAGCACTCTCCGGGCGGTTTACAATTTTTAATTATACAGGCTACACATTGCCCCCCCAGCAAGCTGGGTACTCATTTTACCGACCTCGGAAGGATGGAAGGCTGAGTCAACCTTGAGCCGGCTACCTGAGTTGACGCCCAAAGAAACCACAAATCCCAATTGTTGTGCGTTGTCGTCCACATTTGCATTTCTTATCTGTAAGACAACAAGAGTCTTGGTGGGGGTTGTTTTTATTGTTGTTGTTGTTGTTTAAGGCTTCCAACACAAGGGGAACGGGTCGGATGGCGCTCTGAACAAGAGGACAAGGGCTTGGCCATTTTACTTTTTGGAAATAAGAGTTCCCAGAACCTTCCCTGCCTGGGCTATTGAGACGGTTCTGGGAGCTGCCATCACAAGAGTCTTGGTGGTGGTTGTTTTTATTGTTGTTGTTGTTGTTGTTTAAGGCTTCCAACACATGGGGAACGGGTTGGATGGCGCTCTGAACAAGAGGGCAAGGGCTTGGCCATTTTACTTTTTGGAAATAAGAGTTCCCAGAACCTTCCCTGCCTGGGCTATTGAGACGGTTCTGGGAGCTGCCATCAAAAAACAAAACAAAACAAAAAAACCCAACGTTTTTCATTGTTGCCATAATGGGGAGTGCCAAAAAATCTCTCTCGGTCTCTCTCTGCCTCTGTCTGTCTGTCTGTCTGTCTGTCTCTCTCTCTCTCTCTGTCTCTCTCTCTCTCTCTCTCACACACACACACACACACACACACACACTCACACACACACGCCAAGGGAGTGTGTGCCCTTTGCCACCCACCTGTCCCCATCCGGTTGCCGTGAGCGGTCAGCTTCTTCTCCAACTCTGCCAGTCTCCCCTCGGTGCCATTCCCTGGGGGTGGGCAAGACGCAGGAGCTGTGAAGGGCCAGCCCGGATCCTGAGGCATCCCTCTCCTGGGGGATCCCCAAGGACACAGACACCCCCATTTCTCCTGCCCAGTTTTTTTGGCCAGAGGCAGCCCTTTGTATCACATGGATCATCCACTGGACGTGGCAGCCAGATACCGTGGCATGGGTCCCCCAGCCAGCACTTCTCTCCTCTGTGAGGGCCTCCTGCCTGGGGCACAGGGCCCCCTGGGCCCCCCACCTCTGCCCCCCCATGCCTTTATCCCCTGTTTCACTCACGCTTCTGCAAGAGGCCACTGATCCCGTCCCAAAGCGTCTTGTTAAAGCTCTTCAAGGCTCCCTGCGTCCTCCGCTGGTTGACCTTGAACCGAATTCCTGAGAGGAAACAGATCAGGATAGGAACCAAAAAAACAACAACAACAACAACTTCTGGCCTTGCACGTTGGCACCCATTCTTTCCCTCTAAACACAAAGACTTCTGGTGCCCCATACACACACACACACACACATCTCCTGCTGGGCACGCATTCCTCCACAGTTTCTGTGTGTTCCTCTTTCCCGGAGACCATTTCCCACAGCAAACAAGCTCATTTCTGATTTGCAGAGCAGTAGAAACCTTTCAATAGGAAAAAAAAAAACTAACCCCCTTTACTTCTTTAAAGCAGCTCTGCTTCTAATTGCAAAGCTAAAGGTTTTGTATAGTTTGGCTTTTGTCTTCCTTCCGCTCCTCACTCTTTTGTCTTCTCAGCTAGCAAACTTTATGCCAGCCTTGGTCATTTCTCCTCGCACACTCATCGACACATCAACCCTTTGGCCTCACTCGCTCGCACGTCTTTCCCCCATGCTTGCACACTTCCATCATCATGTGAGATGGCACATTCCGCACGACGTTTATCTTGCAGCGTGCTCTACCGTCTACAGGAATCTGGATGCCCTTGCGTCTCCTCCCACCTGCCTGCCCACCCACCCCATCACCCCGTGATGCCCCCAGACACAGCCTTCCAGCCCCTCACTCGCCTTGGGCTCCAAGGATCACCACCGAGACGGCGAGGATGCCACAAAACACCATCAGGATCACGACCAGGCGGTTGGTGGGGCAGATGCGTCGCCAGGAGGACTGTGGTGGGAGGGAAACTGTGGGGCAGAAGAGGAGTGTTTCTTGGGGAGACGACCGCCCCAACCACCACCCATTACCCCCCATTTCCCCCATTTCCCACCCAGTCCATTTCCTGGAGAAAAGGGCTGGTCTTTTCCAGTGGCAGGGAGTTTCCCAGCCCGCTGTGGGTACCAGGTCAGTTCTCCCACGAACTCCCCTTCTTCGGCTGGCTCTCCCAAGCCCTGGGGGGGATGGAGTTTTTTATACCTTTCCCGAGGTGTCTTCCACTTTCATCGGCCACATCCAGAGATCCGAGGTCTTGGTCGTCCGCGGCCATGGTGGGCAAAGTGTCCGAGGTGGAAGGGCTGAGCGGGGTCAGTGGGGGCAAGGGGGTGAGGAAACATCAGGTGGCCAATCAGTAGGGGGCACAGAAGGGGAGACTGAAGGGGTGGGTGTGCGCACACACACACACACACACACACACACAAAGGCTCCAACTGTCATCCTTGGGTCGTCCAGTTCCGTCGAATGCCCGACAGCCGTCCGTCCTCTCCTCCCCCTCCATTGGGGTGAGGAAGAAAATGGGCACAGTGTAAAAACTCTCCAAAGGCTCACGTGGGGTTGCCCCCTCGGTCTTCCTTCCCTTCTCCCCCTGCAAGCCTCTTCGTTGGCTTGAGGTTGCTCTACTTCCCAAACCAGGGTCCCTTCTGGTTCGTTGGGCAGGGAGAAATGCGATCTGTGGCACACCAAACGTGCACCGACGGGTCTCCACAGGGAGTCCCGGTTGGCCTACTTACTTCACGATGGAGGTGGCCATTCTCCTGGACCGAGACGAGGCTTCTGCCCAACTCCTGAGCCGTGGGAAGCTTCCGGGCGGCTGCTGCACACCCTTTCCTGCTCCTCCAACGTTTGCCAGGGGACTGACCTGAGCAAAGTTTAGACAAGATCTCTGCCAGGGGTTCGGGTGACTCAATCGAGGCCAGCTTTTACTGTGGCTGCCGACACACCGGGATGTTGTGATGGGCACTGGGGATCAACATGGACGAGTGTGTGTCGGGGTTGGGGGTGAACAGGTACTTGGGGTTCCCACGGAAGGGACATGGAGGAAGCCAGCCCTCATTCACCCCCATCAACCCCATTTCTGGCCCCCCCATGGAAAGAACAGACACTCTTGTTGGGCTACGCTGGCCCGGCTCTCCCTCCCCCCCGTCACCTTTGCTCTGTCAATATTAATTCTCCTCAATAGGACCAGACAGAAAACTTTCCAAAATACCCTCAAAGAGGCATTCCAGTATCCTCTGT